TGACGTAAGCATTTCTCCGACTGTTATCAAACGTTATTATTTTATAAAAACAATCATATTAGCCGGAACATTTCTACTGTGCGCCTTGCGGAACATTTTGTTTTTGCAATTTTTTTTTTAAACTTATGTAATTAAGTACGCTGAAAACGATGGTGAAGTCAGAATTTTTCGGTCGGACATAATTTCGAAATTATGACCATTCAGATTTCAAATAGTGCAGACCTTAAATAGTTGAATGTAAATATTATAATGTCAAATATATAAATATCAAAATATCAAATTTAATTTGTCATACATTTAATTGTATATGATCTTATCAGTGTTTATTTAATTACTTAAATAGTTGAATGTAAATAGTATAATGTCAAATATATAAATGTCAAAAGGGCATGATGGAATCTCCCCTAAAATAGTATTTAAATTATCTCTGTTTATTAAGTTACTTAAATATATAACCTAACCTTTAGAATCAAATTCGTTCCAGGTGGTACTTTTGGTAGGTCAAAATTGAAAATTCTCAGTAGGTACATACATTTTTATTATAGCTAAAATATATTTTTTTAAATAATAAAAATACGGTCCGTTAGCCCCCATGAGTACGCCACTGCTGTACCTATACGTATAACGTGGGCAGTAGGCACATATTTATTTGTTTTTAAATCAGTTTTTTTCTGTGTAGCCACTTGCGCTTAGTGCTTACCCGGTAAATTGTTTTATAAATTTAAAATATGAAATACACACACTGACATAGATACCATGTCTCAGTATTCTGTAAAGAACTTAATAAAAATAATAAATACGTAATATAATCAAGCTCCAAAATTTTAAAAGTTCGTTACATCATGAGAGCTTTGGCTAAAAAAACTTCGTTACATCGAGGGTACCAAAATCCATTTAATTATTCGATATACCGCAAGATTTTCAAGGGAATGACAGTTTCATCCGTTAGCCCGAAAGCACAAACTAGATTTACTTTCCTATCAGAAAAAATGATTCTAAAATAGTAAATGGAAGCATTTTTAATGCCCTAAAACGTGATGAATAACAAACATTAATAAAAAATAACACAATTGTTTAATCAATACATTCATTGCTCCGCTCAGAATCTAAAATATAGTCACATTAATATTTTATAATGAGCGTTTAAAATTTAAATTGTTGATTACATAGTAAAATCGAACTGCGGTAAAAAAGTACGGTAGGTATAATTAATAATTAGGGTCTGATTGGTCTGAACATTTATATGCATTTGCATTTTTTTTTAATAGTCCAAAAAGTAGCTACAAGTTTGAATTATAGTCAATATGGAACACGGAGTTTTATTTTGCATATTTTTGGATATTTTGTAATTTTTTGAATATTTCTGTGTTTTACGAATACTTATTAACCGTGGACATTGGTAAACGGAAAAAAAGTCTCCAAATTAATATTTTATTTAAATTCAGTCTTTTATCATATAGGTATTTATATAGGTACATAGCCCATAGGTAATACATGTTACATATTTTTATTGAAAATAATTCTAGGATTAAAAATTATCGTAGATAAGTATTTATATACATAATTAGGTACATTTTAAATTTTAAATTTATTGAAAATAATATAATAATATAATATCTTAAACATATAATAATATTATTTAAAAAATATAAAAATATATTTGTTCAGACATGCACCCCTCGTAAAATAATAAAAAATTGAATAAAATATGTACGTTAAAATTGTATTTACTATTATATAATTTTCAGGTCTTTTATACTTGAATAATTACATTTTTATTTTTTTTAAATAATATTGTTATATGTTTCAGATATTATATTATTTTCAATAAATTTAAAATGTACCTAGTTATGTATATAAATACTTATCTACGATAATTTTTAATCCTAGAATTATTTTCAATAAAAATATGTAACATGTATTACCTATGGGCTATGTACCTATATAAATACCTATATGATAAAAGACTGAATTTAAATAAAATATTAATTTGGAGACTTTTTTTCCGAGACTTTTTTTCCTAATATCCCCCTATGATCTGTAATGTTTTTATAACTAGGATAAATAACAATTTTAAACTTTTGATAATACTTTTGATTATAATGATTATATATTATAGTAGGTAACATACAGTACAAAACATGTTTTATAATATATTAAAAAAAAAAAACAAAATAATATATTAATAAAAAAAAACTTGACACTTTAGGCTAGTAGGAATGTTGTCACACCTATAAGCTGTAGACAAAAAAATTATTGAATTAATATGTTATATAATATTTTCAACTCTGAAAAAAAATACTACTACAGCATAAAAATACATATAGCTAGTAAACCTTAATAAAAATTAAAGCACAAACCTAATATATATTAGGTATATAATAATAATAATATTTTTTTTTTTTAATAAACAATTAACAATAAAATGCATATAATATCTAACTTTAAAATAAAAAATGTACTTATTTATTATAATCAAAAAGTAAAAATATAGATGAGAGTGGTGGGCCTGTATTCTGTAAAGCAAATGCGGCGCGGCGAGGCGATGGCTGAGCGGTGAAGTGGGAGTGGAGTCGTCGGCGGCGGCGGAGGCCGACCAATGAAAAACGGAGAAATGCTTACGTCACAGTACATGGCTGGGCGGAGGGTGGATGCGCGACCAGTGGTGTATTGGAGGGTATACGGGGGTATACGGCGTATACCCAAAACGTATTTGTCGATCAGAGCGTATAGCTTTTAAAATATACACAATACGCAGGTATACGCCCGTATAGGAGCGTATACTGATAAAATATTATGCAATATTGATAATATATTTTAAATTTTATTATTGAATATTTTTGTTGATATCACAACTTAATCGAGAATATTTTTTGTATACAATATGGCATTATTACCACGATCACGGTCTTAGATGACCGTGACCACGATTATAGATAAACGATTATTTATAAATAAAACTATGCGGTATGATTACAACTGCCTACTGGTTTTGTTATACTGGTTAGTGGTTACATAATCATAATACCATTGTCACGAGGAAAATTGATAGCGGTAAACATTTAAACCATAGATAATAGAAGAATTCTATATATGATTTAAATAAGTAAATACTAAATAAGTTAGGTTGCTTATGTTTTCAGAAAACCACGTTTTATAACAATAATGTAATCAGTTATCACAAGAGACATTGTAAAGTAGAAAAGTGACTTGAGTTTTAAGTTTTAAAATTGTTCTGTGATTTTAATAATTTAATTTAATTTGATGATATTGATATATATTATGTATGTAGACATGTAGTATGTATGAATGATACATTGATACGTTTGCTTTCTATCATTCTGATTTCTGTCATGTAGACATTAATTTGTAAATAAACGATTAATTAATGATAATTTATACCATATTAATTTTACTTGCCTAGTACCAATTGCTAAATATACCAATTAAAAATTTTTATTTACAAAATGAGTGAAGATAAAAGGAAATTGACAACAAATATATTGTCGTACTTTTCAAAAAAGCCTAAAGTAGAGACCATTGGCTGTTTGTCTGAATATAATATAGATAATGTAAGTATTTACTACATTTATTTTAAATATTATGTTTTAATATTGAATATAATAATGATTTATTAATTAATAACTATAGAAGTCACTAGTGGCTTTAAAATAAAATTGAATAAATATATTGTATATGAAAAAAACATTAAACTGTAAATTCTAATTAATTATAAATTATTATTATATTATATTTTATTAACTGTAGAGTTTGAGCAATTCTGAACCAGACAAGAGTATACTTATGAATTTACCATCTCAAACCAAAGTAAATTATGTCAAAAATTAATTTGCTCAAATATTTCTTTTTTATGAACAAAATTAAATTTTTTTTTACCTTATAGAATCTTCACGCAGTATGTACTTCCAAAGTTTCAAGCAATTGTAATTATTCTAATATGGTAACTTTGGAACCACAGGTAAGAGTACATAATATTTTATTATAATATTGAATTTGAAAGAAGTAAAAATTAATTTAAATTTTAAATTTTATTTCTGAGAATACTCATAGTCTACAAATTAACATGATGGATCAATAATAAATAGTTATTTAATATCTTATATCTATCATCTCATCAGTTGTGTCAACTAAAGTTTTAAATTGGTAATGTAAATTTTATTTTCTGAATATTTATTTACTGTGTTGAAGTAAGTTGTAATACTTATAACAAAGATATGTACAGTACATGATGTTTCTACTTTGGATTAGTGGTTTTTTGTTTCTCATATTATTTATTGCACAATAATATGCTTATGCTATTAGCTTATTATAATATTTGAAGCTTTATGTATTACAATTTATAATTGCTACTGCACAGTGGCAATCATAGCATAAATGTAGATAAATTATACATATAAAATATAAATTTCAAAAAAATTAAAATGGTGAACTAAAATATTATCTATTAACTATATACGTATATGTACTATACTATATGTATCTTTTAATAAAATTATAGTACCTCTTAACTGTGCTTAGCTGCGGCTATCAAAATTACCACACATTTGCTACTGCACACTTAAATAATTATGCTATTATACACATTATGTATGCAACTACATATAAAAATAGGCCCAGCTGAATATTTGCTTATAAGTTATAGTTGATATTTTATAATTACTAATTTAGGTATTTTATATACATATCATGCTTTAAATACATTGAATGATTAAATTTTTAGTAAGCTAGTTTATGTTTTAATTCAGTTAACTTTTGACAATTTATAATAGAAATTAAATACATTATTAAATGTCTAGGTCAATGTATCACAAGATAAAAGTCAAATTCCATTAGAATTATGGCCGTTAGAATGGAGCAATGAACAGTGGAGGGAAAAAAAAGCAAAATACCCATGGCTAATATGTTTTAATAATAAACTTGGATGTAGCATATGCAAAGAATTTGCTGAATTTAAATCTTTTAAAAGCCATAATATTGAAATGGCAAAAGAATGGACTAATTGCCAAATAGACAGTGGTGATAATCCCAAAAAAATAACTCGGCTAGCTATCTTAAGAAATAAAATTAAAAAACATAGTTCTTCTAAGGCACATACAACTGCTTTTAATGTTGCAACTGAAAAAGAAACAAATTCACTTATAAAAAACTTTGAAGATACTGAAAACAAAATAAATAAATCAACTCATTTAGTTTTTCGTACTGCATACTATATTGCCAAGTATAATCGTCCATTTGATGATCACATTAAACTTATAGAACTTCAAAAACTCAATGGTCTAAAAGTTGGAAATACATTACACTCGAGATTATCATCTACTAATATAATTGACCACATATCATCTATGATGAAAAGAAAAATTGTTTCTAACATACTTGAAACTGAAGCAAAATTATCAGTTTTAATTGATGAATCTACCACTATAAGTACTTTGAGTGGAATGGTGGTATATATACGAGCAGCTATTTCTTGTGAAGACCCCATTTTCATATTTTTAGACTTAGTTGAATTATCAAATCAAACGGCTGAAAATATAGTTCAACAACTAATTAAATGCTTACATCATGCTGGATTTAATGATCAGTATTTGCGAGAAAATTGGGTTTCTTTTGTGAGCGATGGAGCGAGTGTGCTATTAGGTAAAAGAAATGGCGTGGCAAAAAGACTTAAAGATCTCTATCCTCTAATTTTCAGTTGGCACTGCCTAAACCATCGTTTAGAACTGGCAGTTCATGACTCAATAAAAGACATAGGTGCTTTAAACCACTTTAAATCTTTCATTGATTCTTTATACGTCTTATACAACGCTTCTCCTAAGAATCAAAATGAACTCAGAAATGTGTGTAATGAATTAGATATTTTATTTTTGAAACTGGGTAGAGTTCTTGATGTCCGTTGGGTGGCCAGTAGCTGGAGGGCCATTAATGCTGTATGGAAAACATTTCCAGCTTTGTGTAATCATTTTTGTAATGCTGCAAATGATTCAACTAAAGATTCTAAAACTAGAAACAAATATCTTGGCCTAAAAAAAAGATTGGCAAGTCCAGAATTTGTATCAGACCTGGGTTTGATGTGTGATTGTCTACAAGAACTATCTATACTATCTAATCAATTACAAGAGCGTACAACTACACTTATTCAAGGTCAAAAGCACATTCAAAGAACGATTAGGATTATAGAATCATTTAAAGTTACTCCGGGAGAACATATGTCTGAAGTTTCTAAACTTAAAGAAGTTATGGTATTTAAAAATATTCAACTTTCAACTAACACTAAATTAATTACTATTAATCCAAAACAGTTTATTTCAAGCATTACCAATAATCTTAAACATAGATTACTTGAAAATAGCAATGAAGAGACTATTATTCAGGATTTGTTGATTATGGATATTAGCATCTGGCCAGAAAATACTAATATTAGGCACGGGGAAAATGAAATGAAGCGTATATGTAAACGTTTTTTACTTAATGAACAAAATGCTATCAATGGTCTTCGACAACTAACTGAAGATAATACACTTTTGCCAAAAAAAGTCATGCCTGAAGTCTATAATTTGTGTAAAACATTTCCAATATCAACAGCTGAGTGTGAAAGGGGGTTTAGTTTAATGAACAATATTTGCACAAAGCTTAGAGCTAGACTAACAATAGTAAACATAGCTAATTTAATGTTTATTAATATAAATGGCCCTCCATTGGACAACTGGAACCCTGAATATTATGTTAAAACATGGCTGGTTCATCATAGAACAGCTGAAGATTCAAGAACCAAACCAAATCAGCCAAACAAACATAAAGTCCAAGAAGAAAAAATAAGTTTGTGGAAAATATTATAGTAACTACTAACCATAGAACAATATAGAAGCGACACTCGATCAGCTGATGGGTGAAGTGTTTACCTATGATCTGAAGTCCGAACATTCAAACTGTTTCCGTTTACCAACATGATGTTATACTCGTATTGAAAAACCGTCTCCGATTAATAGGCAGGGTATTCTGCGCGGGTCGGGTTGTTTCCAGCATAGAAAAATTGTTTCCACTGTTTACTGTAACGTATGCCACGCCCCTTTAGAGACCATTTTCAAGGCCACAATCTCCCGATCCGACCAATTCACGGAGTGTCGTACCCCTGTACTAACTAGTAATAAATTATTTAAAGTTGTATTTGTTATAAATTTGTTATTAATAAATTAAGTTACCAATCAGCTGTTAATATTTGCCTAGAATTTGCTACTTTTTAGATATATGATTAATTTGTGAAAGACATCACCATTTTAAAATTAAAAATGTTATTAATAAATAAAATACAATTTTATCTATTGAGTGAGTATCTGAATAATAGTTAAAAGTATATTAACAATTAACATACAAACTGAAATACTGTGTATAAAAATAGAAAAAGCGAAGTTTATAGTAGAAATTGTTTAATGTAGATTGTAATGTATTATGTAAGTAATATTTCGAGCGTAGCGAGAAAATTTTTTTTTTTACAATAAAATATAGCTTAAAGTGCGTATACCCAAACATTTGTTCACCAATACACCACTGTGCGCGACCCGTCTAAAAACGGGTATTTGTCATGACAAACACTGGAATTCTTTCGAGAACTTAGAGCAGAATTATTAACAGCACACCATACTCAAATTGTTCGTGGGGAAACAGTGACCTTACGCTGTTTAAGAAGTCACATAAGAAGGGCAAGTGAAAATATGACACACTCCTTTCGACCACTTGTCTTAGAACAAGTTATGGTACATGTAAACGATTTTGTACGCGCGGTAGTTGAGCAACCGGACCACAACAGACCCATATGTGTAGAAATAGGTTTATTGCTAGAACGATTTATAGCAAGAGGCGTGGCGATCGAACCGATAAACGAAGAATAGGTAGTTACAAGAAATAAAAAATATAAATATACAATAATATTATTAAATTATAGTGTTACTGACCTTAAGTAATAAATTTTATTTTAGCTCACAGATCCGTTTTTTCATAGTAGATTTCGAATTCTTTACGGCCGGTAAAGACGAAACATTATTAGTATCCGGAACGATGACGTATAGTTTTGAAAAATACCAGCCTAAGAAATTGGAAGAAGGTCCTCTTATACTTACGAAAATAAGTTAAGGAGATTCCGGCGTTGCGATCTTAAGGATATTGTGCAAACAATCAAACGGGTGTTCCGAGGGAAAAAGGCAAGCGTGATTGCACCACTGTTGGACCAATTATACAAAAGTGTAAGCCACCAGGGGGAATCAACCTCGTCAACGGTTTACTTGCAAAGATATTTGCACATAGACAATAGGGATCCAATAATGGTTTTCTGGAATGGAACGACGGACATAACATTAATTAAACGGTTAAGAATAAAGGGTATTTTAGCATTTTTAAATATATCAGCATAATAGAGTATTAAAAATAATGATGAATTTAATCTAGAACTAACAAATTTAGAAACTAAAAAGAAGTTTTATATTCAGGGTATTTAGGAAAATTAAATAAAAAAAAGTCAGAATGTTAAGATTATCAGAAGCGTATGGATTAATGAGCGATACTAATCATAATATTACGTGTTACGTAATCTTAACAAAATGTCTATTCAATTATGTAGTTTCAAAAATAAGACCCATATATATATAAATTAACGAGGAAGGTAAAAACTTAAATTAAAGTAAATTTTAAGTAAACAAAAATTTATGGTTGCATATGTGTATGACAATTTTAATAATTATTCATATAGATTTAGTATAATAATTAATTGGTGGAAGATAATAATTATTATTGTAATCAAGGAAAAATACTTACATTATACACTTACATTGTATACTTACACTTTTAATATTGTAATTTCAGGTACAATACTATTATATTGTTTTAAAAGGACTATTGCTCCTTCTTACTAATAATAGGATAATAGGGTTATTTAATAATTTATGTATTAATTTTATTCTTACTAATCACGATATATAACTTTTAATATGTATAATAAATAATATGTAACAGTAATTATGTATGACACTAAAAATTGTAATGTCTACACTGTAATATCAAAATTGTAAACTATTATAACAAATTGTAATCAAATGTATGTCAAATTGTAAATCAACCATTGTGATTAATTAACTTAACTATGATTGTTAAAGATTCTTAACCCTTACAGGTTAACAATCTTTTTTTTGGTGGGGAGGTGTAGTGGGATTACGTAATATCATGTATTTGCTCATAAAAACAACCAGGAATGCGACCACACCCAAAAGTGTTTACGACTAGAATACCACTTTTAGTCGTGAGGTCCGAATCATATCAAGGACGACTGTACACGCGCTACCCGCTTTCAAAGGACGCCGCCACCATATATAAAGGGGACAGCGAGACAGCCTGAGTAGATGTACCAGAGCCGCCAAGGCCGAGCGGACAGCTTACGCACCAGCCATTATACACAACTTACACGGAGATTATCGACTACTACAACGAGTCAACTCACGACGCTGCAATTCACCACGACTATATTAATTATTATTGATTTTAATAAATTACAATTGATTTATATTTAAATTGACTACATTTTATTGTAAAAGTGCAACAAGCTTTTGGATCCCTGAAGAGCCGCATGTAACAATCAGTTGGAATTGAAATATGTTTAAATGTTACCGTTTTAAGCTTCTTAAAGCTTGATTCAACTGCTGCTGAAGTCGATATATCATCACCATAACCGAATATCGAAATCATGATGCCCGACCATAATGGTAATAGTTTCATACTTCTATAATATAAGGGGCCAATGCTGGTAAATACAAAGGATTTAACGCCGAACCTTCTTTTATCGAACTCTCACTTCTGTTGTATATATTTTCAGCCCACGATTGAAATGGGTTATCATACTCATTTAATCCTTCATATTCTTCTTCTAAAAAGTTCCTAGCTTCATCATCTGACTCTGCAGCTGCTAATATATCGTTAAATTGCTGTTCAAACCCTTTTAAGAGGTCAAAATTGATAAACAAAATGGTATAATAACACATAATAAAGGGTCATGGAGACTTGAAGTTATAAAAAAATTACTATTTCAGAAAAGTATAATAATTTAAATCCCGAATACACCAACTAAATTCACTACCAGAAAAGATAATTAAAACAAAAAATACAAAAAAATTACAAAAATAAAAATTAAACACAAAAAGGTGGGCAAGTGTGCTTATGTGTTTTTTAGATTTTTTGTTCACGTATGAATCACTTCTTACCACATCTTACGTGATCTTTATTATTAAATTTTAAATTTGATAAATTTTGTCAAAATTCGATCTATAAATGCTTATAAAAAAAACTGTGACTAAGGATTTTTAATATTTTTCATCTGCCTTCGAAGCAATATACTAGGAGCCTTCTATTAAATTTTCAAGCTTTATTAACTAGCAAATAAAATTTTATCGATATTTTTAGAAAAAAAAGGAAAAAAAAAAGGAAAATGAAAATGTCCCGAAACAGTTAAATAAATCAAAATATTTTGAAAATGTTATAGTGTATAGAAAATGCCAATATATACAACCAGTGAATATTTCATGTATCTACGGTCATTTATTTTAAAGTTACACCAAAAACCAAATTCAATTTTGTGAAAAACCGATTTTGCGTAAAAATTCCCGTTTTTCCTTAATTTATCTTTTGTTTTCCTTGGCGCTTTTGAAAATTACTTGGAATTTTAAATTTTGACCTCCCCAATGCACCAACGATATTCACTTTCCAATCGAACAAGATACTGAAGTTGTAAATCGAACTACTTATCATGTACACAGACACAAAAAATTTAAAAAAAAACACACATCATTGTAAAATCAACACATTCATCGTTCCACTCAGAATCTAAAAATGTACGTAAATTTTACATCCCTATATAAGATTGGATAGGACATAAGAAGTTATCCCTAGAAAATTTAGTGATACTTTTTTAATGTTATATTGTGGTTACATGGGACAAATGTTGATATGATAATTGATAAATGATAATAAATAACATTAATGATTAATGTACGCAAATTTAAGTTTAGAGTAATTTGAGTATTCCAATTTCCATTTTCAGGCACAACAATCAATATACAAATTTGAAATTGACAAATATTGTAAACAGTTTTTGGACATAACCTTACAAATATCGTCTTTCTCTCTTTACGTTCTCTCTTCCAAAAAAAGCAAACGGCCCCATATGAAACTGGTATACGAATGTCCTACTCCTATCCATATCAGTATAGGTACCTGATGTGAAATAAACACTGAACCAAACCAATAATTCGATGTTCATAAATATGGAAAATATTTTAGGAGAATATTACAAATCTGTATTAATTCAATATAATTATGAAATGTACATGGGGTGTGTTACAATAGTTTTTTTGAACCTGTGCTGTGAAATTAAAATATATACTGTATTAATTTTGTTTGGAATACATTAATTCATGTACTGTATAAAATTAAACAAAAATTAAGCGTTAAAACATTTTTTTAAATACACCTCTGATAGATATGATATTATTCATGTTTTGGTCGGTTCTGGGTCCCCCGCAAATCCGGCGAATCCGGCTACCCCGCCCAGCCTATAGTTGCGCACGTTTGCGAGCATCCCCCCTCCCCTCCCATCATATCACGCACGTACGCGAGCATCCCCTCCCCATCATATCACACACGTACCCAGCCTTACCCCCTCCCCTCCTTAACTATCGTGAACGTGCACAACCCTACTCCTCCCATCGTATCACGAACGTGCACGGCCTTACCCCTCTCATCCTATAACGTGCGTGCATGGGCTATCACCTGCGTGCCCCCTCCCCAACCTATAGTTACCCCGCCCAGCCTATAGTTATATGCTATCGCGACCGTGCTCGGCAATGCCCGGCAGTGCCCTTCCCCTCCCCCTACCATACATACCCCTACAATCCTTTACCATATGTGATCATACCCCCCCCCCCCCCATTAAACATACAATTATTAATGATTTCCCAATACCATACATCTAAGTGAAAGTGTAAATGTTTAGTATACATAATCGCTACCCAATATGACATTCAAAACACAGTTCACGAGTCGTTATTATATACATAAAACATTGTATACTTCACACTTTTGTTCACCGATCTCTGGAAATGAAGGTGTCGGTGGCGAATACGAAGTATCAATATCATTCCCCATATCTACTGTTGCGAGGGCTTCAGAAATCTAAGGAGAATAAATAAATATTAAATTATAAATAGTTATTTTTTTTCGATTACATATATTTTCTTTAAATGTATAATATATTATACCGTATGTTTATGTAATGAAGGGAGAGTCGACGGCAGTGCTGTCCACTCACCACCCATACCATATAGCCCACACACGTTCTGCCCGTACCATAGGTGTGCTAATGCAGTCGCTGACAGCGTCTTTATCTCGTTGGCATACCCCGGATCACTACATTCTTCACCCTGAGCGATTGGATGTTTGAAGTCCCCGCGCATATTCTCGATACATGACTTAGTCTCCTCATACATTGTCAGGTTACGCCCGTAAGTTGTTTCCAGATATCTGACCATACAGCTCGCTTGCTTAACTATCGCCGGTAGAGAAATAAGAGTTTTACGTGTGACGGAGTCACGTATACAATACTCCAACTTTTGAATGGATAGTAAATCTTCACGATTCAGTAGCACATAGCACTCGGGATGTGTTCTAGACTCGATGGAGATCACGTCACATCCCTTACTCCGTTTTTTTTCTGACGAGGGCCTGTGCCACAACCGTACCATTCCCATTTTTCCCATTATCGATGTATATCGCGAGTGTTATCGATGAAGGTAATAAAGAATACACCACGTCCGTTGACTCTTCTATTAACAGGAGATCGTTAATTCCACGAGCCCGCTTCAAAGGTGGGAATATTGAGGGTGAAGGGTGTGACTCAGGTATTATGGATAATATATCTCCCATCATCGAGAATATCCGATTTAACAGCTCATATCTAATATCTATATTCTGCTTGGCTGTTAGTATACGAATCACAATACCGAAACCCTCTCCTACCCCGCAGTTGAATTCAGAACTTGCGATGATTCCTACACTTAAAAACTTACGTTCTTCGAAATCCAGTACATATGTCGTGCAATCGATTAACGGGGATGGCTTTTGCACTTGAAGACTTTTTTCTATTTTTCGTAAACATTTCGCCAAGAAATAATATGTTCTATTTAAAACGAATAAAATATTTTATTTTGAAATAATTATGGATGTAATTTTTCACGTTCTAGCTGTTATTAGATGTAATTAACAGTAGTGAAAGTAATTTCACGGACACTTGAAGAACGATTAACTAATGACAAATTTCAGTTGAGTAGCTCTCTAACAGGTATACAACGTAATTCTCCAACAGGTATACCTGTGTTTCAAACCCTCGTCCCGCTATATCCATACAAATATAAAAATTTTTTAGATATATACCCTTTAATTAATTATGCGACATATAACTTTATAATAAATAATTGCCTCTCGTAATCTATTGTTAGTTAATTTATCAGTATTTAACATAATGTATTATATATATATATATATATAGTTGTAAATAGCAGAAAAAAATATTTATCACCTATACTATATATCTATATACCTACATTATAAATATCTCTCTGTAATATATCAAAATATTGTATTATCATGAATAAAATAACAGTTTTGAGGTATAATTTGCAATGGGTTAGTGAATTATAATCAATTGTAATGATGAAGATAATATAATATATTTTCCTCGAATACCCCTATTAGAACAGTTGTAGGGCTTAAGGTTAATTTATCATTGTAAGCATCGTTTGGAAATAATATTTAAGTAATATTGAAGTAAGTATTCAGCTAAATTAAGTTAGTAATGATGATATAGTTGTTCTGTTATTTATCATTAGACTATGAATATACTGTATTAGGCCATAATAGACTATAAATAGTCATCGATAATGAGATATTAAACTCTACATTTTTTAACTGTGAAAACATATTTAAAGTCGAGAATTCGATTATAAAATGGTAATTCAGTTATTGTATTTTCTATGACTTCTAATTGAAAATATTATAATAGTCAGTAGCTAATTAATAATTATAGATAATTATCGTACGGTGTTATTAATTTAATATGAATATTTTACATATGAAACATGTTTTAAAATAATTTGTTTTACCCTATAACATAATATAACATAGTATAAAATTTAGAGAGTTAGCATTTCAATGATTTTCAGATGTTTTTGAACATATAATAATCTCTAAGGGTGAAGCATAATATATTATATTGTATACTGATTTCATACATAGAAAAGCCTAAAGCGGGATAGAACGTATAGGTATTTATTATTTTCATATTTATAAAGTATATCAATTTAGGATTTTACTATTGTATGTAATATATATATTTAAAAAAAATAATAATACTACTATATAAGAATAGACATTTTTAAAATTTTTATTATTTACATTGATATAATAATATCATACACTTTGTGTATAATCGTTACATTGAAAGACGATATATCGGAATATTATTTAAATTAGATTTGATCGCTTCTAATATTATCAGTGGTTGTTAATTTTCCTACAGCTATTAAAGGTTAATTAAAAGTGATATCGTATATAGTCGTGGTGTTGTATATAATATATTAAAGCGTAATAATATATATGTCTGATAATTATATAGAATTTTACACTTAGTTAAATATTACTATCGGCAGTAGATCGATTATCTAGTATGATATATCAGTATAGTAGTTTGAAGTATAATTCTTAAGGTGTGAGTAATGGAGATAACAATTTACTCAGTTATAGATATAATATGGTCTCCATAGTTAGTGTTAGAGCACTGATCTTGTAAACTAGGGGTCGGGAGTTCGATTCTCTCTGGAGGTATAACATTTTTTTGTTAAAAAATCGCTATAGTGTTAATATTTATTAAATATAAGTTATACACATAGACTTTCATATTTCACATCGATTAAAGATGATGAGGTATCGTTAATAATTACTTATTTGTATGGTTTACATATTATATAATATCAATGTATGGATATATAATTTAACGATTCGTTAAATTAAGAAATAAGAATGTTCTTGCTAAACAGACTATTAGTTCATCATTTATCATGTTTATAATATTGTTATTATTCTATATTTTAAAACTATAATAATATAATATATATATATATCATATATGTATGTGAAATGTTAAAAAAACATACCTCATACAATAATGTCTTAGATAACTATAAAGTTACCTGTCCTTATGTCGAGAATTATATAATGTATACATTTTTAGTGATAGACAGTGATGGTAGGTGGGGGTAAGGTGTGATATGTACTAGGTATTGATAATACAGTAGGTATAGTATAATATAGTGTTTATATAAATATGATATAATGTATAGAAATTCTTTCCTACAGTCCTTTTCACGAAAAGTGGCCCTCGACGTTAGCGCGCCTGGTGGACGTTTTGACGCAGGGGCTCTAAAACACGCGCGAAACCGGGTAGAGGTAGAGCTACCGGCTCTCTAGCGGACAATATTAAGAACCACTGGCTTTCAGAAATACCGTCACCAGGCGCGCTAACGTCGAGGGCCACTTTTCGTGAAAAGGACTGTAATATATCAATTGTACGTTTTAAATAGTATTATATTATTTAATTTACTAATTCAGTGGTATATACTAAACATTGATTGTAGTGAAGTATGGTGTAGTATGATGTATATGGTCTCGCACATACGTGATAGTAGGTTGTAGGTATGTGGATGGACTAGGCTGATTAAGGACTAGTACTCTATAACCTAACCTATGGAGGTGTTATGGTGTGGTATATGTTAGACATTGATGGGAGGGAGGGGTATGGGGTTGGTATGCACTAGGTATTGATGGTAGGGGAAGGGTAAGGTATGAGATGATGTGTATGGTCGCGCACGGTATTGACTCTCATAGACTAGGGAGTAGGGACAGCCTTGACGGAGTAGTCTGGATTCGTGAGATTTTCATACTTCTGATGTATGCTTAGAAATATGGTATACTGGTATAGTAGGTTTAAGTATAATTTTAAAGGTGAGGGTAAGAGAGGTGTATTAGCATTTTATTTATTATAATTGATTAATATCATATTATTTATTATTTATGTAACTATCAATGTATGCATGCTTGGAGGTATGGCACCTATACTAGAATATTCGATTTATTATTTAAGTATAATTTTCAAGGTGTAGGTGATGGAGGTATATTATATGACGACTATATATTGTAGTGATATGCATTGATGTGAGGGTATGGTGTGGTATGTACAAGGTATTGATGGTAGGTAGGGGGAATAGTGTGACACGCATTAGGTATTGATGGATGTGGAAGGGTATGGTATGGTATGATGTATTGATGTATATGGTTGTGTACGTACTTGATAGCAGGTGTGTGGATAGGTTAGGATGATTAGGGGACTAGACATCATAGTAGGCGTGTGATGAATTTAATATATAATATATATATATATATCACTTATGGTGTAAGATCGTAGGGATATGTATGGGAGGGGGTGGGTATTGACGGGTATTGCCAGGTATTGTCGAGCATAGAACTATAGGGTGGACGAGGTAGTCAGATTCATCAGATTTAATTATGATAGATGGGAGTGGGTGGATCTGGTTGGCTACATACGTGATGTTAGGTGGGATAGATATCCATGTGATAGATGGGAAGGTGTAGGATATTTTAGTATTGGTAACATTTTAAGCCATGGATTGGTAAAATATTATCTACTCATTTACCATGTTAAAAGATTAATGCAGATAATATTTTCAATTACTTTAGGATACATTTAAATTGTTGAAATAATAGCTAAGCATTAGATTTTGTATATACTAACTTTCTAAACGTTAAGTTGATGGTCATAGGAAAACTAAAATATTTCACCATAAGTGTGAAGTATACAATGTTTTATGTATATAATAACGACTCGTGAACTGTGTTTTGAATGTCATATTGGGTAGCGATATGTATACTAAACATTTACACTTTCACTTAGATGTATGGTATTGGGAAATCATTAATAATTTTATGTTTAACGGGGGGGGGGGGGTATGATCACATACGGTAAAGGATTGTAGGGGTATGTATGGTAGGGGGAGGGGAAGGGCACTGCCGACCTCGGTCGCGATAGCATATAACTATAGGCTGGGTGGGGTAACTATAGGTTGGGGGGGCACGCAGGTGATAGCCCATGCACGCACGATATAGGATGAGAGGGGTAAGGCCGTGACATTCGTGATATGATGGGAGGGGCAAGGTCGAGCACGTTCGTGATACGATGGGAGGGGTAGGGTTGGGCACGTTCACGATAGTTAAGGAGGGGAGGGGGTAAGGCTGGGTACGTGTGTGATATGATTGGGAGGGGAGGGGGGATGCTCGCGAACGTGTGCGACTATAGGCTGGGCGGGGTAGCCGGATTCGCCGGATTTGGGGGGGACCCAGAACCGACCAAAACATACTACTTATTCCTAATTACCTTTAATTAAATTAAATTTGTGTTTTTTTAATTTAAACACCTACATAACTATTATAGGTACCTACCTATTTTCATTAATCGCGCAGCTTCATTTTCTCTGTACGTTTCACATGACAGTCCTACATTAAAAATTGAATCAATAACTTTGGTCTTTGCTGGACCAAGCAGCCGACTTTTTTTTAATAATTTATGGGCTTCATTAAAGTTACCGGAGTAAGTACAATGCATGAGAACTCTGAAAATAAAAGTTTTTCAAAATTTTACTTGTCGACATAACATTTTTTAAACAAAAAAAGGATGTACAATATTCTTTTAATACCTTGCATTTTCTGGAGGCATATCTTCAATAGTCCCTTTAAAAAGTGAGTTACAAATTGTACAACGACCAATAACACTAACATAACTTAATCCAGTCGTATCCATTTTGGCTCTGTTAAATGATAAACATCAAGGTAACTGATTGTGTATCCAAAAATGTTCAGCTAATATAGGCGTCCAAGTATTTTTAGCTAGTGTATGGTATGTCTTTGTGCTTTGTGTGGGCCGTGACTTTTCATTAAATTTATAAACTGTTTCTTGGGGTTTAATTTGTTGCCATTCAGCGGCAGAAAATGTAACAACAAATT